GGAAGGGGGCGGGGCGGCCGCAGTGACGCGGCGGGGAGGGACAGCAGGGGCGCCGGCGGGCAGACCGGGAAAAAGGTCGGGGCTATGGGCCGGCTCTGCGCCTCCAGAGGGTCGGGCTCCATTTGGAATCCGAGGCCGGGGCTGGGGGCGCAACGGACTCCCACTTTGGGGCCGGTCGCCCCTGCCCGGGCCGGGTGAGGGGCGCCCGCCAGAAGCTAGAGGTGAGAGGGGACGTCGGTGAGCGGGCGGGTCAAGAGCGCGCCTGGAGACTGGGACGCCTAGCAGGGGGAAGTGGGGACAAGGGCCTCTCGTCCGCCCGCCCGCTGGGTGAGGTGGGGGGGTAGGAGGGGTGTCTGCAGCGGAACTGTGGCGCCGGACCGGGACGCAGGTGGGTTGAGTGGGCCTCCCAGGATCGAGGCCGGAGGGATACCAGTGGACCGTTCCTGCACCAGCCCGGAATGGGCAACCTCGTGGGAGGATGATGGGTAGCTGCAAGGACGAGTGGAGAGCCGGCGCGGACCGAGGGTACAGTTCAGGACCCGGGTATCCACTAGGGTGGTGAAGGCAGGTTTGGGGGGCGTAGAGGGGTTTATCTGGCACCGAAAGGTTAAGTTAACATTGGCAGAGGCACATGGGGGCCGCTCCCTGAGAGACACCTTGGGGTTACAGGGGTTTAAGTGGATTTCTGGGAGTGGGGTACATGGAACCCCACCGACTTCGGGGGATGAAGTGAAGGGGGCGGGTCCCTAAGGTTCTGGTCTTGGAAGGCGGGCGCGGCTCGTGGATGCTGGCTGGGGAGGGCGCTGGACGGAGCCGCGGTGGAGACGCGAGGCTGGCCTTGCGGCGTGTCGGCCCGCGTCCGCCGCTCTGGGGGGCCCGCGTCAGTGCGCGGTTGCCATGACGACAGGCGGGCGGGGGGCGGGGGCTGCGTGGAAAAGAGGTCAGCTCTGAGCCTCGTTGCTGCTCCGGGCTCCAGCGGCACGGGAGGCAACACTGGGTTCGCCTCTGCCTCCCCCGCGGTGGGCCCGGGCATGGGGTTCCGCGACCTGAGCCCCTCCGCGGGCGTGCAGGGCTCGGGACCGCGCACCTCCACCCTGCACTGACGGGCGCGCGGTACCCTGCGCTAGGAGGAGAGGAGGCCGCACGCGGTCAGCGGAGCATCTTCAGGATGCTCATCAAGGAGTACCACATCCTGCTGCCCATGAGCTTGGACGAGTACCAGGTGGCCCAGCTCTACATGATCCAGGTGAGAACGCGGGAGGGCTGTACTGGTGGAGTGAAGCAAGAATTCGCAGGCCTCAGGGGGATAGTTCCGCTGGATCTCCTCCCCCCCCCCCAACACACACACCAGTTCCGTTAGTGGGTTCTGTCGCCCAGAAGAAGAAAACAGACATCCTTTGGATATATTAAAGCGGAAGGGAGGGGCAGAGGGGCAGAAGGGCAGGAAAGGCCAACGGGTGCTTTCCATCCATTAAATGCCCAGCCCGCACAGCCTACATATGGTCTCCTTTAATCCTAAGAATCTGTAATCCCGTGGGGGAAGGGAAAGCAGTCTATGAGGAGACTGGAGAGCCAGGGAGGCTAGGTGGTAGGTAGCTTAAGCGGGAAGGGGTTCCAGGAAGAAGTGTAGAATTCTAGCATTCCCAGGAAATCAGAAAGGTGGCATGGCGATCAGGCCCCCAAACTGTGGCAGGGACAGGGCAAGCAGGGACTAGATGGTGAGGAAGGGCATCTTCCTTGGGCTGTGAGAAAGATGCTGGATCAAGGCAAGCTATCAGGACTTCAGGTGATCTGGGCCAGGTCTGTTTCCCAGACCTATAGAGTATGAGTCTAGGAGTAGAGAAGGCCACAGCCCTCCTCGGTGGGGTTGACAGAGCTATCAAAGGACAGCTACGAAGGATGTCACAGGAGCTGGGAATAAGGTCCCAAAGGGAAGGGGGCAAGTCAAGTCTGAGAGGTGGTTTTGTTGCTACTCCTGAGCATATTCGTCACGTTCTACTACCGAGCGTGCACAGACGTTTCTGCTTTAGCCTCCCACCCTGTGCACACACACACACACACACACACACACACACACACACACACACAGACAAACAATGTTCCAGCTGTGGTCATGTCCTCTCGGTCAGATCTCCCGTGACCCATCTTCTCACATTCAGTTCCCTGCTCTTTACTCTTGGTCCTGCCTTCCTTTCTCAGAGCGCTTCCTTCCTGTTTTCCTGTTTCCCTTTGTTAAGTTGTGGCAGGTGAAGGTTCTGTTTGTCAACAAATCCCAGTTCTCCATCCCCAACAATTAATGACCAGATCAAGTGCAAGGTTGCAGAGCCCTATGGGAAGTGGGCAGAACCTATGATCTCAACCCCAGGAAGTTGCAGGGACCTGAAAAGACCATGCAGGCTGCAGAGATAAGAGCACTTGCGCTCTTGAAAAGGACCTGGATTTTGCTCCCAGCACCCATATGGCAACTTACAATCAACTGCAACTTCAAATCCTGGAATCCAGTGTCCTTTTTGGGCACCAGACATGCATGTGCTGCACATAAATACAGGCTGGCAAATGCTCGTACACTCAGAATAAAATGAACAAGCCTTTTTTTTTTAAAAAAAAAAAAAAGAAGGCTATGCAAAGAACTAGAACCAAGCTGAGGACCCCAGGATTTAAGCTAGGGTCTGAGTTCCCCATTCTCTGTCCTGGGCTGCAGAAAAAGAGCCGGGAGGAGTCTAGCGGTGAGGGGAGCGGTGTGGAGATCTTGGCCAACCGGCCCTACACAGACGGGCCCGGGGGCAGCGGACAGTACACACACAAGGTGTACCACGTGGGCTCCCACATCCCAGGCTGGTTCCGGGCACTGCTGCCCAAGGCTGCTCTGCAGGTAGAAGAGGAATCCTGGAATGCTTACCCCTACACCCGAACACGGTGAGTGTGTGGGGTGGGCACAGGCTCAGGACTGTTAAGGAAATGGTGCTTGTGGGCACAGCACTGACTTTCCTTCTGCCCTCTGCCAGGTACACCTGCCCCTTTGTAGAGAAGTTCTCCATTGAGATAGAGACCTACTACCTGCCTGATGGAGGGCAGCAGCCTAACGTCTTCAACCTGAGTGGGGCTGAGAGGAGACAGAGAATCCTGGGTGAGGTCTTCTAGGGACCCCTGCTGCTGTTCCCTGGTGGGCAGTCTCCGAAAACCCCTATTTCTAACTCATCTTCCTGTCTCTGAAAGGCTTTTCTCCTAACCCTTGGGGTGAGGGTAGAGATTAGAAACAAGGGGCTTGATTTACTTAGTGCTGGCTGAAACCTCCTCAGACACCATTGACATCGTGCGGGATGCTGTGGCCCCCGGAGAGTACAAAGCAGAAGAGGACCCCCGGCTGTACCGCTCAGTCAAGACCGGCCGAGGGCCACTGGCGGATGACTGGGCACGGACAGCGGCCCAGACAGGACCTCTCATGTGTGCCTATAAGCTGTGCAAGGTTGAGTTCCGCTACTGGGGCATGCAGGCCAAGATTGAGCAGTTCATCCATGATGTCGGTGAGCATCCAGATGAGGAATACCCAGCATGCACTAGGCCTGTTTGGAACCGAGAATGCTCTCATCCACTGGGGACATGGCAACATGAAGCCATCGTTTCCATCTAGGGTAGAACACAGGC